TGCTGAAATAGTGTGGTCATATGCACCTTCGTGTGTTCTTAAGGAATGATTAACCTATATGTACTTAAATTACTTTCCATATATACTTCTTGGACTACTTCATGGTCTTGGTCTTACTTGAAGCTGAGGCTATATTTGTTGCTAAACTTTATGGTCTTTTTACAAAATCTTGTTTGTTTTCTAAAGTATCCTCACAGGATTTCTTTCCTTTATAATCTCCCTCTACTTTTGGTTTTCTATTCACTTGTGTTGGTCATTTTTCTCTTTCTCTCTGTTTGTCTCTATCTTTGAATCATTTTTTCTTACTTTTCTCATTCTCTCTTTCCTCCATATTTCTCTCAGTTTCTTCTTTTCTTCAATGATCTATCTGGGAACCAGTTTTTCTTAGTGATCAGCTATATGTTGCTGACATGGCTCTTAAGATTGACATTTTTCATACCCAATGTATAGGAAAATTGTTGCCTAGAGAGTTCTACAGGATTTCAGAAGCAAAGAAAATTAGAGAAATACAAAAACATAAACAGATAGACTTAGGGGAAACCAGGGTTCTGAAGCCTCTTTGGCACTTGGTCTCTGGTTGCCAGCAAGCAAGCAAAGTTCCTTGAGTTCACACAGGGAAGATTACCATTGATAACATGCAAAACTGAAGTATCTATATTAATATTACAATATGCGCCACAACATGTGGGGAAGAAAACATGTTTCCTTATTCTCCTGAGACAGAAGACTGGCGCCCAGAGAAAATGCAGACATGAAGTTCACCTTACCTAGCCTTCAAGGTGAACAGCAGCTCAGTCTCTGATGCTATCTTTCCAACAGTAAGGAAAAGGCCTGCACTCCAGTCTCTTAACCATCTCCAGAATTCTCTTTTAACCCTTCTGCGGCCAGCTCTCAGTTCTCTCAGTGCTGTCAGGCTAGAATTCCAACCTCTGAAAACTTTTTCCCTTCAGCTCAACTTCAGAGTTCCATACAGAAAAGTACGTCCTTCCTCCAACTGATAAACTACAAGAAAATTTGATTTCACCTGATTCTCTTACCTTTTGTCTAACTTCATTTGTTGTGGTATTCAGTTTTATTTTTCCATACCACTACTTTTAAATATTTTCATTCACTGCCAGTATAAGATAGGTAGTTTTGATAAAAAAAAATAATACAGTGATAAGGTTTTCTCTATTAGAAATGTCATTTGTTGCAAAATCTCACAGATATTTGCTAGGAATTGATTTTGATCTCTGAGGAATTTCACTATTAACTAACAAAAGTGGAAATATATCCTTAGGGATCTACTGGAGAAATGACTCAGGAATATTTAACACATTTGAGCATTTGGTCATATTTATCATTTTTGTCATCCTGAGTGTTCCTTGAGTCTCTATTTGCCTCCACCTTCCATGAAGGCCTATTAAAATGAAAATCTTCTCAAGGAATATTGTATTCCGCTCCCACATATATTTGGTGTTGTAGAATGTAGGCAAAGTTTACAAAACTTCATGGTACCAGTTCTTTTTTACATAGGAAGGAAATATCAGGGTATCTAACACCACATTTCAATATTTAGTATTTAAACCAAACATGGTTAACCTAGGATATTTTTATGTGGGAACTAAATCAAATCTTATAAGGGCCCAATAAATCATTAGCTACTTTCTGGAGTACTGTTACTGTTTTTTAACATTCATGTGGACACTGCTTTTCTTTGATCTAGTAATGTTCTATGTTCTGTATACCATGTGATATCCTGAATGTGTTCTGCTTGCTTATGAGAGTACTTGTTAATAGAAGGTCTAAATAGGATTTATGGTGAAGCAATAAATGTAAATGCAGAGAAAATATTTGTTTAATTCATTGTTAC